ACACAACTTATAACATAACGATTTCTTCCACGGAAGCCAGGTGGGGGGTCGAAGTCACAATACTGCGCGATAAATTTCTTGCTACATTCACATGGTTAATGTCCACTCACCAGTATGTAGATACTAGTCAATGTGCGCCTTTATATTTGGTCTTATAATCCTAATTAGTTTATTATCATACTTTTATGCATTTTGAAACTAAATAAAAGCTGACGATCTGCTGATACTTATAGTGAATTTATAACAGAACTGTAATATCTAGACATTTTATAGTTTGCCATTGTGAATCATAATTTCACACACACGCCCTAGTGTATGTTGTCTGTCTCATTACACTTCACTGCGAAAACAATTATTCTGTTGAATGCTACGACAAATGAATAAAACAAAATGCAAATATTAAAATTAAAACAGATTAAAGTTATAGGAACAATATCAGGCCATTACCTTGTTTGAGGAATGTATCCATCAATATCCACAAAACTGTTCCAAATGATGTGTCTTTTAACAGTTTAATATAATGAAAAAGTGATAAATCTGTTCAGGTATTGGTGTATAGTCTCATTGGTCACCCAAGATAGCACACCTGGCAACTAATTGCATAATGTCCGCCTTTCATTAAAAACAGTAATTTAGTTAGCCAATAATGGGCAATCAATCAATGTATTGCCGGTTAATCCTTTGAAAGAAGGACGTTGTTTTTACACAGACACCGACATGGCAGAGTGTATTCAGTATAGATTAGTAAATCTACATACATAAACACTACCTTTTGACAAATCCGCTGTGTAAGATAAAAGTAATTAATCAATCAGCGTGTTATCGGTTAATCCTTTGATCGATGTTTATAATGTTGAATATTTACTCCAGACACAAGAAATGCCAAATGGGAACCTTTGTCGGTAATCTAAGTGTGTTACCACTAATTATACCTGTTATAAATTCATTAACTGACCATCAAGTGAATGATGACAAATAACATGTGTAGGTTTATACCACCTAACACGGGTTACAACAAGGGAGTATTAATTGCTGTATTGCATGTGAAAACTTATGGGCCGATTAACTGTTTTGAGAATACAAACAGATTTTTACATGACATGATTAAATATCGAGGTAAAAAACACAGAAATGGGATCAATTTAGATCAGTCATTATACAAATAGGGCCTAACGACACCAATCAATTGTGACAGAAGCGCCTATGAAAACAAGTTGTAACTCGAAACTAGGCAAAGCAGGAGACAAAATTAAATGCCAGTAGATTGTGAGAACATATAGCTTTCATTTTCCACAACAATTGTCACGATTTCAGGTTTATACAAGCCTGTAAACAAGATAATTTACCCCCTAAAATGTAGATGAATTCTGCATCGGCCCTCAAAGCTATTCCTCATATGACGTCACAGAGTCGCGCCGCTCTGATTGGTTGAAATTTCGTTCGCAGGTGAGAATTGTGCACTGTTGTCAAAAAGGTCGATTTAAGTCAATTAAAGGTCGAAATGAGTAGTTTTAATGACGGGGTTTCATTTATAACGATGCCAGTTAGTGATTTATGTATTTTTACCCCCTAGGGTTTATGTGACCTTTAAGGTTGACCAGGACAAGGGAAATATATGCTGCGGCCTGGGATTTACCCTCTATGTCTAATGAGAATAAAGGCTGCGGGTGTGGGGTCAACTCGTTTATTCTGAAAGTAGGAATCAGTAGATATCAGCAGATATCAGTTGACGCTCTGTAACAATAGTACAATCATAAGCACAATTTCATTCAGAGGTTAAGATATAAACATATTATATCCCATTACATCACATAACATCAATAAGCATATGTTTACAGGTACATTACTATCTGTACTAATGCATACTTCATATGCTCATACCATTAGAAGTACACATACAAATATATGTTTCTTACAGAGGTGTTTACCAAATTATAATGAGTGTGTGAGTGAGTGAGCATGGTTTTACGCTGCTTTTAGCAATATTCCAGCAATATCACAATGGGAACACCAGAAATGGGCTGCCACATTGTACCAATGTGGGGATTCGAACCCGGGTGTTCGGCAGGACGATCAGACGCTTAAACCACCATGCTACCCCACCGCCCCTACTAAATTATAATATATCATCATGAGAGTGAGTTTAGTTGTACGCCGCACTCAGCAATATTCCAGCTATATGGCAGCGGTCTGTAAATAATCGAGTCTGGACCAGACAATCCAGTGATCAACAGCATGAGCATCGATATGCGCAATTGGGAACCGATGACATGTGTCAACCAAGTCAGCGAGCCTGACCACCCGATCCCATTAGTCGCCTCTTACGACAAGTATGGGTTACTGAAGATCAATATACAACAATAACCAAATACATCACTTATGTATAAATAATGAAATAGATTATAACAAGATGCATAACCTGTGGGTGACACGGGAGTGTTGCTACTGGCAGTCAACCCTCTGCATACTTGCTACATGTGATACCTGAGCCAAGCAAATATAACACTGGAACGAAATATATGTCACGTGACTGAGAATAGTTCAGACACAACACTGAACACAGAAATCTAATTACAAGGAAGGGTTTACTTCATTGTGTGATTTATATAAATGTGCATAATCCAATCACCAACCAATGCAATTCTACTGACCAATCTGTTAACTTGATCTTGATAAATCACAGATAATTCGATGAAGAATTTCACAGTAGAAAAAACCTTTCCAAATTCCTGGATACGTCATGTGAGTAGCACATTCAGAAAAATTGTGAGGTTTGAAAGGGCGTCATCTGATGCTACGAATTCAGGGGAGATAATTCCACAGGGTAAGGGGCATACCACTAGGGAACTAGGACTTAGTGAACTTTTTTCTTTTCCATTTTTCTGTATGTGTGGTAACCACAGGAATACGGCAACCATAATCCAGAGGGAATGTTTACGCCTATTATTTAGACCAAACAATATCAGTCTCTGTTCGTTTCATTAGTACAGTGAATGCCCTGTGGTTTTTTCAAATGTTCATACTTTGTGCTTGTAGGGGTAAATGACACAATTTAAGAAAACACACTGGATTAGATACAACTAAAGTACCATTCCATATGCAGGTTTCCAAACTGTCATTGTAGAACGTAACTTACAGTAGGCCATTTGTCCCAGTGATCAACAAGAGTCATCAGAAGATGACATATCCCCCTGGCCCCACATCTTTGAAAGAACAAATCATCTGACAGCTTGATTTTAGACTAAGTGCAAATCGTTTCCATGGAAACCGAGAAAAATAAAAATGACAAAAATCTGCAAATAAAAAAAGGCACCACTTTGGGATCTGCCTCACATATCTGCCAAGTTTTGCTGAAAGATATTAAGAAGTTTTCGCGTTGTGCTCTGGATGCAAAACCTACCCCTCCCTTTTGAGACTAAGTCCGAATTGTTTCCATGGAAACTGAGAAAATAATAAATCACAAAAATCTGCAAATAGCAAAAGGCACCACTTCAAGATCTGCCTCACATATCTGCCAAGTTTTGCTGAAAGATATTGAGAAGTTTTCGAGTTGTGCTCCGGAAACGAAACCCACCCCTCCTTTTGGGACTAAGTCCGAATCGTTTCAATGGAAACCGGGAGAAATAAAAATGACAAAAATCTGCAAATAGCAAAAGGCACCACTTAAGGTTCTGTTTGATATATCTACCAAGTTTTGTTGAAATGTATTTAACGGTTCTTGAGTTATACTCTGGAAAAGAAGCCCACCCTCCCTTTGGGGATTAAGTCCGAATCGTTTCCATGAAATTCGGGAAAAATAAATATGCCAAAATTCTGCCAAATGGCACAAGGCACCCCTTTGGGATCTGCCTCACATATCTGCCAAGCTTTGCTGAAAGATATTAAGAAGTTTTCGCGTTGTGCTCAGGAAACGAAACCCGCCCCTTCCTTTTGAGACTAAGTCCGAATCATTTCCATGGACTCCGAGAAAATAATAAATCACAAATATCAGCAAATAGCAAAAGGCACCACTTCAAGATCTGCCTCACATATCTGCCAAGTTTTGCTGAAAGATATTGAGAAGTTTTCGAGTTGTGCTCCGGGAACGAAACCCACCCCTCACTTTTGGGACTAAGTCCGAATCGTTTCCATGGAAACCGGGAAAAATAAAAATGACAAAAATCTGCAAATAGCAAAAGGCACAACTTTAGGATCTGTTTGATATTTCTACCAAGTTTTGTTGAAAAATATTATACGGTTTTTGAGTTGTGCTCCGGAAACAAAAGCAATCCTTACTTTTTGAGACTAAGTCCAAAATGTTTCCATGGAAACCAATAAAAATAAAAATGACAAAAATCTGCAAATAGCAAAAGGCACCACTTAAGGTTCTGTTTGATATATCTACCAAGTTTTGTTGAAAAATATTGAACGGTTCTTGAGTTATGCTCTGGAAACGAAGCCCACCCCTCACTTTTGGGACTAAGTCCGAATCGTTTCCATGGAAACTGGGAAAAAAAAAAATGACAAAAATCTGCAAATAGCAAAAGGCACCACTTAAGGTTCTGTTTGATATAACTACCAAGTCTTGTTGAAAAATATTGAACGTTTTTTGAGTTATGCTCCGGAAACGAAGCCCACCCTTCTTTAAGACTAAGTCCAAAACGTTTCCATGGAAACCGAGAAAAATAAAAATGACAATAATCTGTTAATAGCAAAAGGCACCACCTTAGGTTATGTTTGACATATCTACCAATTTTCGTTGAAAAATATCGAATGGTCTTTGAGTTATGCTCCGGAAACAAAATGATTACGGACGGACGGACGGACGGACAGACAGACAAGGCGACGACTATATCCTACTGCATTACATGCCGGTGGGATAAAAAGGAAAAGTAACTAGCTGAGCTTGGAATGATCTGTCATTCTATAGTAGTCCATCAATCTTACGTACTTACTTATTTGTGTCTATGGATCTGTACCCGCTGTGATTCAACAGTAGTATGTTGGTCTGATATACCTACCTCGCAGTCTCGTTTCATATTTCTGGATCTGTTCCTTCTGTGATTCTACAGTGTTTTGAAGGTCTGCAGCTGTTGGTCGTTCCATTGGAAATTAGGTTCAAAGCTTCATTTCGCTACAATACAAAAGAAAGAAAAAAGTGCAATGATAATTTGCAAATAACTTCCATTGTGTATAATAAACATGTAGCTGTTAAAAAATCATCAAAATGCCTGAAAGCAATGCTACTAAATAGTGTTGAACAAAAGCTATCACTGTTAAATAATTCTCAGAATTCTACCAAATATTTTGCCATCCTCACTATAATAAACAAGTGTTTGCCACTGATATGGCAATGTCCTCCGCCGCTAAAGAATGGAATATCTATATTTACTACTTTTTTTGGGGGGGGGTCACATACAAGATGCCTGAAATGACTGGTGTCTGCATAATCACCCAATGTAGGCTGTCAACATACTTGAAACATTGGGTGCAATGGTTTATGAGATATCCTGCTTTAAAAAGCGGTCAAAGTATTGTGGTGACCTTGAAAATAAGGTGGGGATTAAGTCCGAATGAGATATCACGTTAACAACAGTTTGAAAAGTGGTCAGTGTCTGCGTAATCCCCCAATGTAGGCTAACACCAAATTTGAAGACGTTGGGTACAACAGTTCATGAGATATCACGTGAACAAGAGTTGGAAAAGTGGTCAAAGTGTCGTGGTGACCTTGAAAATAAAGTCAAGGTCACGCAAATCGATTGGTGTCTGCGTAATCCCCCAATGTAGGCTGACACCAAATTTGAAGACATTGGGTACACGTACGGACGCTGCTGAATACACAGTTGATAATTCCTGTGAATATCTCTATCACACCATTGCCAGAATAGCCAGATGGACTGTTAAGTTCTGACATCTATGTAATGATTAGATTACAGCTTCGTTTGTGTCTTGACTAAAGTTTTATTTGTCAATAATCCCAAGTCAAAATCATACAGCCTTGACAGGGCAAAACCAGCCACATTGACAGCAATAAAGAAATGAAATTCTTTTACAATGTTTGTTACTCACCTTTTACAAAATATATACTTAGGACATTACGTCATCTTGCGAACCTTTACGTCACATATTTCATATGGTTACGCAAAAATACAACATAATATACATTAATTTTATGTTCTTTACATTCTACAATATTTGTTTATACTATTATAAAAGTTACATAATTGTTTGTCTTCCGTAGCAGCCACAAAGTACTTAAAAGTGTCTCAGAACCGTAAACACATTAGCCATGTGCTTTCTAACTGAATGTGATGCACCCTAAAAACATTTACCCGCAAGAGTTACCCCCCCTAACCATAACTCAAACAAAGAAACAAGCTTGAGATATCACACTCAATAAAAATTGAAGAGTCATAAAATCCCTTGGTTTTGGGCCTGCACAACCTAGTCAAGTGTTGTTGCCATCAACAAAAACTTATCAAACACCCTTTGCTTCTGAATATGTGACCACTGTGGTATTGTCAATAGCTTGTAGGATCACTGATATGGCAATTGATGTTTCCATCTCATGGGTATTTGAGGAGAATTCCTGTCATCATACTTGGATTAGTTGAAAGTAAAAACTTTATCTAGAGCTTAGATTAATGTTAATGTCCCCAGGCATGACAGTCATCAGGAAAATGACTTAAAAATTGCCTTGGGTTTCTAATGTCAGCCTTTTGGGGCACATAAGATGCCCTGGTATGAAAGGAATACGGCACCCATAAACTCCTTTTTTCCTTCATAAGTTCCAGTATCCCTTAGCATTAGGGCTGCGCAATATAACCGGTTCATGCAATATATTGCAATACATGCTTTTGCATCGCAATATGAATATTTGCTGCAATACCCACCCCTACTTAGCATAGGGTTGGCCTTGTTCAGGCTTTCTTGGCACGGATCGACACCTCCGAAATTCTTCTGTGGGCCCTATCCAGTCTAGTATATTGCGGGGCCTCTATCGATTCAGATGATAAGAAGTCTGAGCTGTAGCAGGATAAGGTGTGTCCAAGTTTTGACTTGCTGACAATCTCTACACTACGTAACAACTGCCTCGATGTCTTTGTCAATGTTAAACAACCCCACAAAAACTGCACACCACCTCCTCCATCCTGACCATTCCTGGATGAGGAAGATGAAGTACACTGAGTATCTCTACTCCAAACTTCTAAGGGATGGCGACTCGTAGGCCCAATAAAATACAGTCTTGTTCAACAGATAGCTCTGTTTTACTGTTGAAGTAAGGATTCAACTCTTCATCCACTTCTGCTGGCCATCCTGTCTGTGTAAACTGTAGTACTCTGGAGACTTCATCGCCCTCCATATACCTCACAGCTGATGATTTCTTAAAGGAATATCTTTCAGATTAGGTTTAGGTTGGTAAGACCACGATCTCATTTCATTCTGTGATGACCCATGAGCAACCTTTCAACACTCTTGTTTTGAACCAGCATATATCACTGTCAATACTTTGAAACCCATACCGGAAACATAAGTTTGTTTTTCAGATTTCACTTTACTGAAAATTTGTTGACTGCACCCATTGATGTGTTGACGTAGTTACCACCACCACTCATTTGTTAAAGGTTCTCATTAGCTATTCATCTGCTAATGCCACATCCAATGCCTGTTGTCCAGTGTTGAAATGTATGGTACCTCAACAGCAACTTCCTCTGCATGTAGTAGGGCAAATAAATCTGTCCCTCAAACTTTCCAACAAAATTACAATACAAGAGGCTGCCATGTTCTTCTGCTGAGCAGCGTAACTTGTAATTGATTGTCCTGGCTGCTGCTTTGTGAAACCTAAATCTTTCTGCCGCAACAAGTCTTTTTCAAACATGTCCTATTAACAGCTGTACAAATCCCTTCTTGGTAGGTTTTTCAGGAACTCTCCCATGTTTCTGCACATACAGAACTCAGCAAAATTCCCCTTTGTTTAACCCAGTTGTCTTGATTATCAGGTAATTCATGCACAATAAAGATTTCTTGCAGTCTCCCTAAATAACATTCAATGTCACCACCTTCAGTATTCAACTCTTCAAATAGCAGCCATGCTGTTGCCATTATGGCAATGACAGTTAACACTATGACCAGGTAGTTCCACAAACCTTGAAAATGATATATGTCCATTCCGTGTTTTGTTAATGTTCCGTGAACACAGATGCATTTTCTATTAGGGTCCCTATTAACTCATCCTCGATAATCTCTAGGGTATACGATCCCTACACCCTGTATGCATCCACGGCTTGGCCCGATAATTATATTACCTCCCTTTGCTGGCTCCACATTCTGACAGTAGCCAATCAGCTAAGCCACCGTTACATCCGAGCTTGCCAGTGTCAACAAAGATAGCGGTCGCAGTCGCGAAGGTTTGTTCGCAGTGCCATTCAGATTTTGGGGGAAATCATACAGTCAAATTGACAGATCTGAAACTTTAAAAAAATATACGAAAGAACTCCTTCTACCTATTTCAGAGTACCTCTGCATCAACTGTGTTGCCAAATTTAAATGGTTAGATAATTTAAGAAGCGAAAGTGAGTTGTGATTGGTTCGCTCAACTTCCCAACGTAGCCACCTGATTGGATAAAAAGCCAGCAAAGGGAGGTAATAAAATCATTGGGCCAAGCCGTGGATGCATCCAGGGTATAGTGGAGAGTGATCGAGGATGCTATTAACTTTGATAATGAGAAATGGTGTTCGAAGTGGTGAAACTTCAATTCCTGAATGATATTGTTGTATCCGTTGTATCACAAGTCGTATATACGGGTTCAAATATTTATTTAGGTTTGTTACAGTATGACAATCAGAGAACGGCTAAGATGGCTGACCATTTTCCCACGCACATACTCAGTTGCACGTGTGGTTTATGACATGATCTGCTTAACATGTGAAAGAGAGTTCCCTCCACGAAGTTTTATCGCATATACACCACAGTTCTAGCATTAAGTTTAACAATTAGCTTATAGTATTAGTATTGAGTTTGTAGACCGGGCTTTAAGTCCCCCTCCCCATCACCCCCCGAAAAATATGTCAATTTCCGGTTACCCGACAGACCCTATCCTATATTTATATGACAGTCACTATTGTACATATGTATAGGCTAAGTAAAAAATTTATGTGCCCTGCATATTTGTATTTGCATGCCAGATGTATTGGTTTATCATACATGCTATATCTGTAAGTGTAAGGAACTGTATCATACTTGAGTGACAATGTGTATTTCAGGGTGTAACAAACAAACAACTAACTAATCAATAAATAAACATGATTCCCACCAGCAGCTGTGTTGCAAATTATTTCAACCACAACCAACCCTGCTTGGAAAGAGTATTTTAGCAAGAATTAAGAAGTTAAAAACAGATGCAGTATACAAAAAAGTGTATTGGTAAATTCAAAATCCTTCAGAATGACAACGGTAATTATCAGCAGTTATGACTACCACTCATGGTTACAATGAAACACAATAAAAACAAATAATACACAGATAATCAGGATGTTTCTGCTTAAGTCCATCACATATTTATGTACAAATGATTCCTGAATCAAGGTAAGGTCCCTCGCAAAATCCTGTTGAACGATGCAAGTGAACACATTTTGTGAAAAATCAATCACCAGTTGTGATGTCATAAATCAACTTTGTTGTACATATTTGGCAATTTGGAGCACCTTTAGAATTCAGCACTACACCTTGTGATGATTGTCTCTGTCGTAGGTCAGATGTCACTAAGACAAGCAACCAGTTTTGTGAGAATCCATCAGATGTGAACATGCGACCTTCAGATTGTTAGCCCGACAGCTAACCGACTGAGCTACGGCCACACTGTTACACAAAGTGCCAATTTACCTAGGAGGGATTTACAGGACGCAAATTCCTGCGTCCTATACGCATAAAAATTGACAATGGACACAACAAAATGTATTTGTGCGTCTACAGGGACTCAGAAAAAGTCCAAATACTTTTTGTAAAAATTCCAATCAAGTGACTATAAGTTATCACTGAGTTTGCTACTAGCTGGGTTATGATATTATTTGCAATTCAATTGCTGTAACAATGTGATGATCATGATACACAATACAATAACAGTATAAATAATT